AGCGAACAGGGGACAACAATCGATGACCTGCCAAACTTCGACTATCCTCCCCAAGTGGTCTGTAGCCGCAGTGGACGGGAAATAAGGCCGGTATATTCGAGTGAAACCTTTGCAGTTGGAAAAAATGTTCCGGACGTATGCTATAACATAGCAACGCCCCTTCCTGGACTATTGAGCATGCTTGGTAGTTCACTTACAGTTAAAGTTCAAATGTTCCACTAACCTGCTTTAGAAGAAAACAACCAGCGACCCACTACATCACAGCCCACGGTGGCCGAGATGAACTCTGCAATGCCGGATGTCGATTGGCAGAATCGCATGTACAGTAAGTACTGCAGTTAGCCATACAAAACTTTTTATCAGCCCTCCTCTCTCGGTTGAATGCAGGCCTAACGTAAATGAATGATCGATTGGCCGTGTTAGAGGAGTTCATTCTCGGCCGGCCTACAAGAATGGCTTACACGAATACAGCAGGTGCAACGGCCGACACGAATACGTCAGACGCAGATGTGTGCCCTTTTCCGTTGCACATGTCGCGCATGGACAATTGCGAAGTATTTGAGCGGAAGCTGCAGGACCTTGATTTTTGGCAGCGGGCGGTATGACTTTCAACAGTTATTAACTATTCGTACAAATACATATAGGTTGCATACTTACAGATGCAGGGCGGGAAAATGCCCCGTGTGTTTGTCAACCAAATGACCAACCTCCTCTTCGACAAACGCCTGCTGGCCAAATTTAATATGAGCGGGACGTATAACAAGAAGAACTTTTGTGAAACTAAGGCATATGAGTTGCTCCAAGGTATGTATCTAATTCCATTAATTATTCATCTTCCACTTAGACTTATATCTGCCGTGGAGTAAAAAGCAGAAAACTACCATCAAGGAGTTCCGAGCTGCGATTCACTGCGTTTTCAAAGCAGCCGGCAGAAAGACGCGAAAGGATATCAATAAACGGGATTCCACACTATCTTCGTGTACAAACGAAAACCCATAGACGTCCTCAGCTATTATTTGTACATACCTCCTTGAAAATCTTTCACAAAAAAATGTTTTTTACAGTCGCCTACTCAAGCCTGGTTTGTGGGGGGGGAGGGGGCGACATAAATGGTCCTGGGCAAGGGGGTTCCTTTAGTTATGTTGACCACATGGGCCGTTTTTTTGGGGGGCAACAGTAATTGTCATAGGGAAGGGGGGTTTCATTAGTACCACAGATAGATGATCATTAGAAAGAAGATTATTAGATTTAGAAAA